GGAAATTGACAAAAGACTGAAGAAGTTAGACGCGGATTTCGGGAACATAAACAACGGCAAAGTAGCACCAGAGCTTAAACTGTGTGGATTTAAGATCGGTTTGAAAACTACGTTCCAATCTATTAAAAATCTACCGAAATCAAAGTAGGGGTGCGGTCTCCAATAGCTGTAGGGCCATTAAGCTTACACGAAGGACTTAAACCAACAGTATACTTCAGAAAAAAGACGAGGGAAGATATTTGTGGGATAATGGAGCCGAGCTTACCTACTACTACATACATTGGCAATAAATTAATCAACAGTGGGATTAAAGCTATATGGTCAACAAAACTATTCAAAATGATTGAGGGTTGATATTGGTGTAGTTTTAGAAATAAACCTGCATATTGATGTCGAAAATAGATAGTAAGAAACTTGACTAGGTGCGTGTTTGTCACGGTTTACATTAAAGGGAATAACAAGTTTAGCTTGATGATTAAGGCAAACTGTCAGTATCTTGAATCATATCTGTCAATATTTAAGAAAAATGATCGGAAAACTATTTGAGCCTATAAAAGATTGGACGGACAAGAAATAATGTCAGGTATTTTTTTTATGTTTTAGATGTTTTTTAGGTCTTATAAGAAGACCGGCTTATTTCAATGCAGAAAACAAACAGCAATAAATGAATGATTAAGAAACATTTTAAAATATGAATTTGCGAAATGCTTAAAAAAAACATGTGTAAGGACTCTTTTTCGATTTGATATTTTCTTAAACTGATTTCAAGTATTCAAATTCCCTATCACTTAGAATTATGTATTTTCGCAAATACAATTTTAATTGGGATAAAATGTTGAATTACGAGCATATTTAAGTGTAATTTATTTACTATCAATTGCACCATAAAAAGCACTACGTACAACGTTTTTCAATATGACGAACCGATTAGACGGCACGATTGACTGATCAACCCTAAAATACATAGTGCATTTGACCCAAACTTCACAATGCTGTACCTGAGGGGAAACGACTTTTGTCACGTGCACAAACAAAGCAGCATCACGAACTTCACAGAAATGTTGCAAAGATTTGCCGTTCGGAGTTTGGATTGGTTTGGTTTGGTTTGGTATTGTTTAATGTCCTATCAACAGCTATGGCCATTTGAGGACGGTCTCCCCTGTGTGCAAGATGCATGCGTGTAGTGTGTACGTGTGGGTGTGTTTTGAAAGGCTGCGATATGTTCGTGTCTGTCTCCTTATGATAGCGCGGAACTGATGCCGACTTTATAGTGCTACCTCACTGAAACATACTGCCGAAGACACTCAGCAGGACACACCACCCGGTCACATTATACTGACAACGGGCGAACCAGTCGTTCCACTCCTTAATTGCTGAGCGTTAAGGCCATTCCAATATGGCTGCCGCACCAAACTGTACAATCCCTGTCACAAAATAATAATCCTCCAATATTTCTCAAACATAAGTGAGGTACATGCACACTAAATTCAGAAAAAAACCCATTCAATAACTGATGAAAAAACACTTTTTATGCGTCCATTTTCCAAGCTAAATAAAAGTCACAATTCAAGTTAAAAACCCATTTAAACTTGTAAATATCATAAGGTTGGATGTCCATGGAGATACATTTGTCATTTGTACGATCATGCAATGGGGGCAGCAGGTACAATTCTTACGCCCTACCTGCAGGGACGCGGAGTTTGGGTACGATCAATCCGGAATGGCTGTACATATAGCCATACATTGGTTTGTGGTACGACTAGGTATGGTACATAGCATACCATGTAATATTTCTCTCTAGCAAACATAAATTAAGGCATGAAGCGACATCATTTTGTAGGCTGTCTTTGTTTTGTACATAATACACCACGTAATATATATATGTATAAAACTTGTGGCTTTTGACATGTTGTCTCACAGTTTTCAATGTCACGAGTGTATGAATACAAATCTCTTGCAATTGTGAACTTTATTTCAACTTCCAACCGTTGGCGTTGTTTTTCATATCGAAGTTGAGGTGAAGTACACCGGTTTTTAAGCTGCACCGACAGGTTTTTAACTCCACCGACATGTTTTTAACTACATCGGCAGGTTTTGGACTACACCGACAGGTTTTGAACTCGACAGGTTTTGAACTACACCGACAGGTTTTGGACTACACCGACAGGTTTTGAACTACACCGACAGGTTTTGAACTACACCGACAGGTTTTGAACTACACCGATAGGTTTTGAACTACACCGACAGGTTTGGACTACACCGACAGGTTTTGGACTACACCGACAGGTTTTGAACTACACCGACAGGTTTTGAACTACACCGATAGGTTTGGACTACACCGACAGGTTTTGGACTACACCGACAGGTTTTGAACTACACCGACAGGTTTTGAACTACACCGACAGGTTTTGAACTACACCGATAGGTTTTGAACTACACCGACAGGTTTGGACTACACCGACAGGTTTTGGACTACACCGACAGGTTTTGAACTACACCGACAGGTTTTGAACTACACCGATAGGTTTCCGAACGAATCGAGCTGTTTGACCTATATTTTGTATTAGGATATGACCTGTATACGCAGAGCCTGTCGAGCCACTTGTGTACTTAAACAAGTATAGTGACAATAACTAGCAACGTATATCTACACCAAATACAGGACGTATACTTACTATGGTATCATGTTGTTGTGAATGGAAAGGTTTGATTTAGATGAAGAAGTACAACCTGCTTAAATTGAAATACTGAAATTGTGAAAATATATCTGAAACTTCTTCCAGCAAAGTCCAAACACTGAAAGCATTTAAAGGTTCTGTAAAACATTGGGTTTCTGATCCTCACGCCCAAACCTCCATTCAACAGGAAAATCAGGTGAAAATCAAACCTACCTACAGCTGTCCTCTCGAATCCACTCAGCTGATTAAGATTCGAAGATGACATTAGAGATTAAACGGACATTTGGTTGGGAGTTTATTGGTTTCGCGAATAAATTATACCAGACAGTCAATCTAATGTGGACATAAGCACTATTTTTGACACCTGCTCCACACTCACCGATAGAGACTACAGACACTTACTAACCTCTTCCTTCATTGGTGATGGGTTATTTTCGCAATACTCGCAATATTCACTTTTTCCTTAAGTTGAAGTATTGCCGACATTGTCTACTGTGCAATGGAAATACAACATGTTTTTAATATTTTAAGCTTATGTATCTCTTAAAACAAGACCCTTTTCTCAGACCTTGTCAGTTTCTGTAGCTAGTCACAATGTGTTGCCATTAAACCTGTTGTCAGTGACCGTAATGAAGATAGTTCTGTGTTGAACGGGTCATGCTGCTGGACAATTCCTGCTGCAAAACCGCTGCTTCTCAATGAAATTCAACTTTTTCCATAAATCCAGATTGTAAACAGATTATGGTTATACTGCATACACATACTAATTACAACAGGTTTATATGTGCTTTTAATACACATCTTCAGTTAAATTAAATGATGTATTGCCATATGTATTGAAAAGTGCATACAGGGCTTAGGAGCTACTCTAGAGAAAGTATTATGTAACCATCCTGTTCATGGAGATTGCATGCTTGCTGCTAATAACTGTATCCTCTGTATGTACCCAACTATTTTTTTCACACTATCAGATAACACGTTATACATGGATATGCAATATTAGTGTTAGTTTATTATTATAATATATTATATTATTACAATATATTATATTATCATAATATACCTGTACCAGGCCGAAGTGGGCTCGTACCATGTTGTTGTTTTTTTCTTGTTTTTTTTTATGCGGATATTGTCAGCCATCTTCGATTTTGAAATATGATGCCAATACTAGAACCATTTAATCTTGTTAAAGTAGGATATTGAGTTATGTGTAATAAATCAACCTATTTGCAGTACTCTAATATTAAAGAAAATATAAAAAAAATACTTAATTTTCTTTCATTTAACCGATATATTCTCGTTCTTCATTTTTGGCGAAAATGGTGAAAAATAGGCCAAATTTAAAAATGGCCTTAATTTTTCCCCCAAAGGGAATCTTTCAGGACTTTTTTTTTTATCATACTAGAGACATCTATGAGCTGAAATCAGAAGAGTTTGATAGCATAGTATTTTTTCCCTATATCTCCCTGAAACGGACCTATTCCACCGACCTACCTGTTTTCCTTAATCGAAAACGAAACAGGTATGGACTTCATAGCTAAATTACAGGGAAAACTTGTACTGCTCTGCAGTTTAAACACACTTTTATTATCATTATGCTATCTTCAATCACAGGTACCTAAGAATTTGTTACAGCTATATTTGGACCTAAACTAAGGTTTTCAGAGTAATTTAACATGTTTTAGGGGTTTAGATCGGCTTTCGGTAAAAAAAAAAATGACACCCCCAATGATCATACAAGCATTGGGGGTGTTATTTTTACCGAAAGTCGATTTAAACCCTTAAAACATGTAAAATTACCATGAACACCTTAGTTAAGGTCCAAATATAGCTGTTTCAATGTTAATCGGCAAAGGCAAAAGCTGCCGTAATGGAGGTCTCGGTCAAGTCGGACAACATTTTGAAAATGAGACACCTATAATCCCGCGTTTTCCTGCATCCCGAATTACATTTTTTCAGTATTAGGTCCCATTGAATTTAGCTACTTATAACTTTTTATTGAACTTCACGAAGAAAATGAACCTCTACTAATTTACCTAATGTAATGATAATGTGTTCAAATACATATAGCTTTGCATAGATCAATGCGTCATTTATATATGAAACTTATCACAACTTAACACTAATTTGTTTTTTAATATATATTTATGTGTATTCACTGTTGGAATTACTTCTTTGCCCCATATCTGTGTATTTATAAATATAATTTAGTAAAATAACAAAGAATATATAGATATCAGTAACTAAAGTTAGTTTATATAGTGGTCACAAAATGACAGTTAACGGAAATTAGCGATTGGTGTATTCGTGGGTCATGACCCCGACCATGTGATCGAGTTCTGTTGTGGAGAGAGGTGAGATCAGCGAGAACACAAGGCCAGTATACGAGAGAAAAAGGAAAGAGCAGGGAAACGGAACTAAGGCATAGAAAGCCAACTATTTACGTATAAACAAGAATGTCAATGTCAGGTTCGCCACAGCAGTTACTTAAAGGACGAGAAATTCCAAGCAGACGTATAGTTTTGAACGATATTTCGCAGTTACCCCATGATTACAGTACGACCCCTGGAGGATCCATATTTTCTACAACCCCTGGCGGTAAGCATACTTTTATTTTGATGCATATGAGGACTTGGTACTTTATACGTTGCCTAGAATTGGCGGATGTTTTGACCTCATGTGCATATCGTTGAAATTGCACATCTTTTGACTTTAATATGTAAACGTAAACAAATGCAAAGGCATGCAGAATCCAATATGGCGACGTATGTGGACCATGTGACATTTGTTTGGAATCTAATTTTTCCTCTCATTGATGCCTCTATTCCATTTGGAAAATGTCCAAATCACAACTGCGTATAAGTTAGTGGTAGTCAAGTGCAGCGAATACGATGCCAAGGTTACAGGAAATGTGTGTGAGGTTTTCCACCATATTGTTTTTGCCTTGAGAGTGGACCATGTGGTCGACAGTTTTCGACTGCGCACAACAAATGCAACATTTACCAAACAATAACACATGCATGTGTCATAAATGATCGCGTCATCCTTGCGCTGACCTTTTTTGGTGAAGATAAGAGATTGACATCATAGACAATAGCTTTCTATTTTTAATTTGCCCTAATATTTACATAAAAACTTCCCGTATGTTGTAATCGACCTTCACCTTCATGACGTAGATGATATTTACATCATGCTAAGTTTACCTGGGTCAATGAAGGCTAGCGAGGTCATGATGATGTCAAATATTTGTTTATCTATATAAATCTGACTTCAATGTTGCAGAATTTATAGTGAGTTGTTTAAAATTGCCCATTTATTATTTTATATGCACTAGAAACTATGATATTAAAGTAGCTAGGGAAAGATGAAACAAGACTTTTGGCCAATCATTCATTTCAAGTGTCCTGTCATTTTGTTTATTATCACATGTGAATTACAGTGATTATTCTACCAGATTGGATGGATATATGGCTGGGGGTTATACATTGAATTTGTTTATTTATAGAGTATGTATATAATGAGTGTCAAATAACTCATCAGTCATGTAGGTTTTCAACATTTATTCAATCAGCTGATCCATTCAGATATCAATTAAACTGGGTTTTTTTTAATTCTTATTTACAGGTTCAAAGATTTTCTACGAACGTTCATTCTTGCTGCAGTGTCGAAACTCACCATTGACAAAGAGTCCTCCACCAAATATGGCCAAAATTCCAGGAGTAACAGCACCAGGCACTGTTGATATGCCACTTGAAAATGGCAATGTCACAGATGAAAATCAAAAACAAAAACCAACAGGTGAAAAAGCTGGTAAGACACTGAACAATGATTTCACTTCATGGCTTATGAGTTTTCTTAAGCTGCTCCTGGTGAGTGCCAAGCAGCTTATTGATCCTGTCCAAAGAACAAAATGACGGACCCACTTCCGTTCCGGTTGCGTGTACATAATTCAGTCTTGCATGCTTCCGCTATATAGTTTCGTTATTGTAAATAGAAAGTAGAATCTCTTGACACTCACCTGTGGGTTAAATAAGTCTTTTAATACTCTTCTCCAAACAAAATGTTTATCTCTGGTGGTGAAATTTTGTGTACTGGGTTTGAGCGTTTCAGCAACTCGGATTGAGGTCTTGGGAGTGTTTGTTTTCGTGACTCTGATTCGAGAAAGAACATGTGAAGACTGTCAAGCATTGATGCTGTCTGTATGGTCTAGCTTGTTATATTTTGTAATTACAAGGAAGAAGTAAATATATATACTTATAAACCATATGAGTGATGAAGAATAACCCCTATTTTGATGTTTCAAACAGGAACGTAGTACGACATATCGTGCTTAAAGGTTGATGTAACAAATTTAATGATTATTGAAAATTTTCTCTTCCACTGATAAAATGCAGCCTCGTACAGTTTCTAGTGGAGTTCTACATACCTACACACTCTTATTTAGGTCAAGTTTTATAAACTTGTACAACTTACCTTAACCCAAAAGTAATGCTTGGCAACAAGGATATTAATATCCTTGAGCAGGACCTCCTTATAAAAATCTTTTACACAATACAATGTATTGTAACATATATTAAAAAACGTATTAATATAAATTATTTTAACAATTTTCAGAACATGAAGATGGGCCTCAGTTTGAGATGGATATTTGAATTCACCGCCCAGAATGCCTTTCAGTTAGCTTCCATTGGTGGTGTCCACGGGAACTAAAACAGTTGGGAAGTGCTCTTTCGTACTGAACATTATTTTAATTTTCTAGACAGCTTTTCCAAATTTGATGTTCATACCTCCTTTTATGAAGATTGTGTTGAACACAAAATTGGGAACTATCATCATTGAAACCAGGCTACAAATCAGAGGATGTTTTGTTTCTGTACAAAGCAGTTTGTCCATTCCTTGTCATTTGTATGCAGAACTGCCACCATGTCGATGCTTTAGACCCCACATGACACTGTTGATTGCCAGATTCCTATGAAGATCTGTGCAAGCATGTAGTCCATGTTATGTCAAGTGCAGCGGTTTTTTTTTATTCCTTTGAAGTTCTGGTTATATTGTTATATTAACTAATTACCAACTTTGTAGCAGATCTGGGGAAATAGAGAACTCTTAAAAAATGTAACCATGCATCAAGGGGTTTCTGCAAGTTCCACCCGTGAGTGATGTGAAGAGATTAGTGGATGATAATGTGTATACAAGATGGCAGTACTTTAAATACCCATTCCCTGAGTATATATGAAATCCTTTTTTATACAGAATGATTGTTCCTTTTTACATGGTTTGTCAGGGACTATGAGAGAGTTAAGGTGGGTGCCATCTTGACACCATTGACAGGAAGTAACGGCAGCATTGGGGTAACCTCCGGATGTGATGAACAACTCCAGGTTTCATCGTACTGAAAAAACTTTTTGTCAGGACATTTTTTAAGAAGTCATTGAAGACTGTTAATTTTGTTTTCTTCCTTTATAATAATGAAAAAGAACTGTTTTATATTTTGAGCCTACTATCTTAGGCATGTGATAGCATTGAATGTTAACGCGGCTGAAAATGGTGCACATTATCATACTGCATGATTTGTAGTAAATGAATTAGCTTTTTTAGTTCAGTAGTTGGTTGTCTCGGGTAATGCCTTCCTTGAGCCTTCTTAACATTTTGTGAGAGGTTTTTAGACTAGTTTACTACATTGCTGATATCGGAATGTAGGACAAATACATACACAACCAACTCAATAGTTGCATAAACCACTTACAATACTGAAAATGTAAATCCCTTGTGTTTTAAAATCTGTGAAGGTATTAATATTTTAAAAGGGTGACTTTGATTGCAGATGAAAAGATGACAGTGTTATAACATACAAGGGCATTATTTGATATCTAATGCACATGCAATTTTGTTTTCCAGCTAGACATCTATTTGATGTCTGTCTGCAAACCTGTTATAATTTGATTGCTAGATTCAATTTTGTTAACATGTCCCTCTTAGTTTATGTCGAGTTTCAGTACTTTGTTAATTTCATCCTTTAATTAGGTCCCTTAGTGTTTTAAGTCATATCTATTGTTATAATTTTGATACTATAACTTAATATAAGGAAAGCAACAGTTATAATATTTGCTATATACCCCTTTTTCTGCATTGTATTATAATTTAGTACATTCTGCTGGACTACGTTTTTTAAAGTATTATTTACAAGATCATGAGGTACGAAGAATTGTGATTGGTTGTCTGTATGCAATGTTATGGTAGAGGTCGTTCCTTCAATTTGGTCGACATCTAGCGCTGTTTTATTGTGACAGATGACTGTACACAATATAGAACATAAAAAAGTTATTAAAATTATGAAATTTAAAGTATTTGTGTTTTGTTTTTTAATTTATTCATCTGTAATTCATTCACATCAAACATTGTTAGGACTCTGCATTCTCTAGTGACCTTGAGTGGTCATACTGTTTGTGCTATTTGTGCTTCCACGTAATAACTTATATATTGTCAATTTGATTTATAATATTTTTCTCTTTTGGTATAATTTTGAATACATATATAATGTGCAAAGACAGCATGCTTAAATTTGAGCAAACAAAATTAACATCCTTCACTCCGCACAATATATTCACATATGACTGAATTATTATGAAACTTTGTCAAGAGTTGTGCTATACAAAGAAGGTGAATTTGAGTGGAATGTAAATGTGACTGTTGGATAAAAATTATAAAGTAAGGGAGGTAACTCTAATATTGTGAATAAAATCTACTTTGAAGATGACTTATCTATAATTTAATCGGTAATTTTATTTAAATAGATCATATTTTGGGTCAAACCTGTAGGAATTTGGTTACCTGGTAATATAGTTATATATTTAATGTAACATATTTAAATGTTGTAGTTGAAAGGCTTCGCCAATGACAGGAACTCGCTAACTTCAATGTTGCTATACATGTGTATTTTAATCCTTCAGTCATTGATTTATTTGTTCAGCATATATTTTGCAACTGTACTTTAAGAGTATTTGAAAACATCAAAAAGTATCCATATTATCAGAACAAATATACTGGTTTGTCTTTTTATTGTTACCCTCATGGGAATTCTTCTGCAAATTGAGCGGAATAGAATCATCTAGCTGACTTTATGTGTGTATTATGTACATGGTACTTGTTTACATGAACTCGACAGGACCCTTCATGATGGCACACTGCCTTCTCATGATGAACCTTTTAAACAGCAGCTAAGATCTGTTCTTTAAACCATTAATTTAGTACTATAGATGTCAAGGTGAAAGGTGAAATTGAGGTCACAGTGACCTAGCTTTAGGATGCAGGACCCCATGCTTTCATGATGTACCGTTGATGTCCATTCATGAAACAGCAGCTGAGATATGCTTGGGAAACCGGCACCAGTATTTAAAGTCAAATGCCATAATCAGATTACAACGACCTCATTCTAGGAAGCGATACATCACCTTCCATTAAGCAACCTTATAAAATATGATGTCCATCCGTGAAACAGGTTCCGGTGAATATTTTAGGGTGCGACACACTGCCTTTATACCTTTATACAAATTCAATATCAATTATTTAACAGCGGCTGAGAAATCAAGGTTAAATTGAATAAACAGTGACCTCGTTTTAGGATGCGTCACACTGCTTGCCCTTGATGTTTCATGAAACGACCCGAGATCTTTTCCAAATAAATATTATTTTAGAACTTAAGGTCAACGTTACGTCTTTCAGTGTCACAAGGGTCAAATATGTTAAAAGCTTCAAACAGTGTCTTTTAAAGAACCTTGCGTCTTAGGGTCATGGCATTTTAAACGGTGTGTAGCGAGGATATGACCTATATCCAAGGTCACAGGTTTAAAGCAGAGTGCTCTGATTTAGAAAGTAGCTGATACGTATGATTACCTTCACATCTTTTCCTGGTCAAAGTTGTTCAACAATTTGGAACTATTTTTTCAAGAATCATAGGTTAAGAAGATAATTGGAATTCAATATTCCATAATAATTCCATAACCAGTATGATGAAGAAGACTGATATAGGCTTTGTTTATTTTCTTGCGAATTCTTACTACATTACTGTGCATGTTTGCCATGCAGGTAGGGCGTAATAATTGCATGATCGTAAGAGGCGACTAAATTTGACTTTCTTCTTCCTAATGTCTCCCTTGACAATGCTTCATTTTTGGCCTTTAATTGAGCGTTTGCCCCTGTGAGGAAGGCTTTGGGTTCTGTCCTACCAGAGTCTGTAAAAATGATAGTTTCTACTCATGCTTAACACTCAGCAATTTAGGAGTGGGACGACTGGTTCACCCATTGTCAGTATAATGTGACCGGGTGGATTGTCCTGCTGGGTATCTTTGGCAGTATGTTTCAGTGAGGTGGCACTATAAAGTCGGCATCAGTTCCGCACTATAACAAGGAGACAAACACGAACTTATCGCAGCCTCCCAAATTACACACGCATACACTACATGCATGCATCTTGCACACATGGGAGGCCGTCTTTAAATGACCATAGCTGTTAATATAGGACGTTAAACAATACTAAACCAAACCAAATGGCCATGACCAAACATATTATTGTCGCTTATTTCTATGTGTACTATTTTCGCTGTGAATACGTATACATGGTTGTATTAATATCACTTTTCCGGAAAAGAAACTTTATCATCAATATCACCTATAGCGTCCATGCCCGCTTGGGTACTAGCTATATCCGGTGTCAGTCCTACACAGTGATCACTGTCCGGGTCTAATGGCCTTTTGTTTACGATGTGAGGATTACTTAGTCATGCTGGGTCATGTGTACAACAATAAATAGATTGTGATGTAATCATTAATAAATAAAGAAGAGTTATATCTAGTATTATTATTTACAAAGTGTGTCCTGCCGTTATTGTGGGGTTTCATGCTATAAAACATGCAGTACATCGAATATGCGTACTGTGTAACACATTTTGAAGACATCTTTCTGAAACTAAATCGAGTTCATAAAGGATTTAAATATGAATCGATATTGATGCATTTTCATTGAAAATTTACAAAAAAAGTGGCACGATAGTCACTTTTCATGTACAGAAATAGGAACTGTTAACTGTTTTTGAGCATATTTGTATCATTTGATCGATCAAAGACGCAAAAAGCGAGTATCTACGTCTCTGGATCAATTCTTTTTATGATCATACGGCAGGAGTGATTCAGGCTTTCAGCACACAGATATTTAGTAAAAAAAAAATCGAAAACAAAACAAAAAGGCAAGGAGGTAGCGGAAATAAAGTTCCAAAAACTTAGCCTATCCAGTGAATATCAGCATAAGTCTTATACGCTAGTAAGATAAAATGTTAAAGAAAATTCTGTACGAAGAATTGATGGAACCTGAGTTTAATTTTCTGTTGCATTAACAAAAAAAACCAGATATTTAAATGTCATTTTAGAAGCAGATTTACATGAAAATGGTTATAACGAAAAACATGATACCACGTATGGCCAATGCTAACAGGCCTTTTTGGCATTATTGAACATCTGGATAGGGGGCGCTGCAGTAACACTAGTTGTAAAGTAATTTGTTCAAAATAGTTGTTTTACATTAAAACATTCAAAATTTATTGTGATCCGAATTTAACCGTCCATGCAACACCTCCATTTTTTTAAATGAAACAGTTATATTTAAATGTATTTGTTAGTAATGAAATATCTTCAGTAAATTAAAATATCTTAAAAGCAGTTTAAAGTTGATATTTTTATTGGGAAATAGAAATATCTTTAATTCATTTAAGAAATCTGTTTCACGTTAAGATATCTTCATTAGATTTAAGATTTCTCAAACTTTTTCTATCTCTCTTTGGGTCTTAAATGTTAAGATGACGTGACATAAACATGTCCGAATGGGTCGGTGCCTAGTGTGAGGTACCTGTGAGACCTATGACCAGGTCATTTGCCTATATCTAGAGGACAAGGAAATCAAAACATCGCGGTTAGAGCCGGAGATCAACACCCGGTCGGTGTCTACGTACGGAGACATACCTGAGCATGTTTACTTACGTGACAGGAAAAGGCCCAAGGTGGCGAAGAACTAAGCGAAGCACTTCAACAACGCCTTATTTCACCTTTTAAAACAAATTTGATCACTGATTTTCGTTAATGCTTTAAGTTTGGTGCTGGAAATATTGAAAGACCTATATCTGCCTAATACCAAACAAGTATCTCAAGCTTTCTCTAGATACCTACAAAGGAATGATAAGATGTCAATTCTATCAGCCACAGGAGAGTCGAAGTTCTGTCAAGGTTGTCAGAATATAGCGCCAAACAGCCAGTATAGCCTATAACGGAATTGAGCGAATTCTGTCAAATGTTTTGTTGTTAACAACGATTTATCATATTTCACCCAACGGGTCAACTTATAGCCATCAAAATCCATGACATCCCAGCTTTTCTTTTAAACACCCGTTCTGTAGAGCGACAACAACACTCCACGTGAGCGTTTCTTGGTATCGAATACCGTTTTTAATCATATTGGTAAGTTGCAAACCAGGCCAACACGTCAGGGGCCTGATCATTTGTTACAGCTATATATATTTGGATGTTCAGAGTAATTTTACACATTTTGGGGGTTTCGATTAATTTTCGGTAAAATTGCCACAACTACAGATGGGTTCGGTAAAAATGCCAGCCCAATATTACCATTATTTGGGTGGCATTTGACCGGAAAATGATATAAACCCTTAAAATGTATGCAATACTCTGAACACCCAAATTTAGGTCAAAATATAGCAGTAACAGAGAAATCAAAATTATGGTTCGAATTCACCCGAGGGAGCAATGTTTTCTTTTCTTTCAGACAAAGGGGATATTTTATAAGAACCGTTTCGAAATGTAGAGGAATTAAGATAACTAAATTGTTTCTAGGGACTGTTCGGTTTAATATTGAGACGTATGTAAGTCTCAAGTCCACGGTACCCGTTTCAAGTGTTTTGCATGCTTCTTTCATACAGGGAATATCTTTAATAATTCAATTAGATCGAAAATCGAACTAATTCTATCGATTTACGTGTGTATATGCGATAATTTTATTAACCTGTATTTTGGTGTGATACACAGTGGAACATAGGAATGAACAGACGTGTTTAATGTTGATGACCATTGAAACACCTTCTTATTTAATTAACATGCTTCCTCCTAAAGTGTGCGAACGCAATAGCTACAACTTGAGAAATACTGAAAACTACACTGTTCCCAATTTCCGACTGTCTAGTGCATTCCAATCCTTTATTCCTTCTTCTATAAGACTATGGAACGATTTACCAAATACTGTCAGAGAGCAGCCATCCGTAAACATTTTTAAATCATCGATTCAGCGTAACCAAGGTTACTTGTTGCCTATTTTTTTTCATGTAGAAAATCGAAAACTAAATATTTTACGTACACGATTGCGACATTCATGTAGTAGTTTAAATTATGATTATGATCAGACAAAGACACATTTTGATTGATGATATCTCACGTTATTGTANTTGCAGTCCATTAATTTTTGATTGTATGCTGTATATCAGACAAAGACACATTTTGATTGATGATATCTCACGTTATTGTAATATTTCTCTAAATGTTATTATGTACGGTTCTCCAAACTTGTCAGATGAAGACAATGAAATATCTTCCATATAGTCCAAACCTACATTAAAAACATTAACAGATTTTAAGGTCAGTAGTATTGTCCTATCATCTCTCTTTCTTATTCTTCTAAATTTCTTTTTCTTCCCTTTTCCCTTCCTCCCTTCTTTGTTCATATATATATATAATATAAATATATTTGTTGTTGTTGTCATGTAATCAATATAATCAAATGTATTGGAGGGGGCGTTTCTTAGTTGAGATAACATGTGCCTTATCCTTTTTGTTGAATGACAAATAAAAAATGTTTAAATAAAAAAATCAACAAGTGTATCTGATGTGTGATGACAGTATGTGTTGTAAGGGAAATAACCGGTAGAAAAAGATAGGTGTTCTATATTACATACACGTTTAGCATACTTTTGACTCCATTACGTACATGCAAAAACACAACGGAAATATTTTTGGATGCTAAACTTTAAGAATATTAATGAAATATATCAAACTCTTCATGAGAACTGCTTTTATATATATTAAAATATTCACATTTAGGCGGCCTGTAGTAGTAAGTTCAAACTGGGTGCCATCTATTGGGGCATATTCAAGACCGCTCATAAAAGTTTTACATCTCGTTTTTGTAAGGTACCTTGTATTTTCAAGTTTATTCTAAATCCCAGAAAAAATGCACAACGGTCATCATAATTGACAAAGCAGGTCTATAAATTGTAAAACATTATCAAAAATAATTTTATGAAAAAATACGAACTGGTAGATCTCACGGACAAATAAGTAAACTTAGGCCTACCCTAGAGGATGATATTACTGAAGATTTTTTTTTTTACATAAGTTATATATTCGTTTTCTTATAAATGAGAAATCGCAATTCTGTATGCTCTGAGTCCCTGTCGGAGTATCCTAAGATAATCCAGTATCTAGCAAGAGGCATCACTCATGCAGTGAGTCAGTCCTGTTTTATTCCTTTGTGGTGTGTTCAGGAATATATTGATGTCGCGTTAGTACTCTTTATGCGATAATATCAATGCTTGATACTATTTACATTTTTTTATTTTTTTTTTGCGATTTCCTTGACATGTTCATTTCTTGGCTAAAATTACAGAAAGCAAAATTTAATTCCAGTTTCATGTAAATAATGATAATCATATTCACAAACCGAGCAAATCCTATTTTTTTAACAACCAAGAAGTTGTCTGCTCCTGCGCACATATGGTCATCCGGGGCTTTGCAATGGAACATTTGTAATGGCGGTCAAGGTGGCAACTTAGCATGAGGTGATGAAAAAAGAATAAATGCCATCTGACAAGTGAAACTGAAGAATCCAAAATAAACGATAAAGGTAAAGTTATTTGCAATAATGCAGAATGTCACACAAGATGAGGACCATGACTCAAACAAAGAAATAAGAACTGTAGAAATTGAGCAAGGTAGTCCTACAGGGCCGTCGTATCCATCACCATTGCCATTGGACGAAACTCAGCCGTTGCCGACATCACAATCGACGTTTGGACCCGATATATCTACAAGCGATGACGATGAAATATCAGACGTGAGTATGAATAATTGTGTTATAAGAATTTTGTGCAGCAATGTGTTGACTAGAATCTTCACTTTTCATAGCCATCTTACATCTCTTGAGCATGTGACCCATTGATTTTCTCTCAGTTCTGCCATTTGCATATTCTGGAATATCTCATTCTTGCAATATGTCATCAAATAACTAAATCAAGGATACTCTGATGGTGCTATTTTGACCATAAGTTGTCATTGTGATAAGAAAGTAGGCTTGTATTCATCATTACTACTGACATGATGTCTGTTGAAATAAAAATTCTGTAGACATTCAAGTTCCTTATTATATAACCACAAGCATTTCCAGTGTCTGGAGATCTGCATGTTTCAGACTTTCCTCCACAATCATGAAAGTTCCCTGTTTTTCTGATGTTACCTCATCATTATTCAATCGTTTGTTTGTAGATTGCATTGGATTGGTGACTGACAAGTCTGAATATGAAATGTCATGTTTAGTTTGCATGAAACAGACGTACACATTCAACAAGTTGTTCGAATTTCATTGTTACATGCAGAAAATTATTTTCTCTCCTGCTTCCAACATGTTGGCACCCAAACTGATAATTTCTGTATTGCTTAAGAGTGTAATTTTGAAGAGTATTTTTGTTATCGTTTCCAAAATGTCCAATATTCAATGTAGCATTGTGTTCTGTAAGTTATTAAGAATCGTATCTTTATTGAATTATTGAAAAAGATGATCACATTTAAAAATGATATGTTAGAAAATACACAATATGTTATGTTCATTTAAAGAATAGTAACTAAACCTGAACTTTATGCGTTCAGAAATATCTTTGTCTGCTAAAGAGCTGTATGATTTAAATATAATCCAAATTGTTAATTTATGCATTTATAGATATGTTGCACATGTTTTTCCTTAGTGACCTTAAAAACCTTAACAATCGGTGCAAGACAACACGATCATACTTGCGAATGACGAATGATACAATTACAACTGAAGTTACCACTTCTGTCATATCTAAATTACATAGATGAGAAGTGAATTTAAACCTAATTATATTTCTAAGCAGTTTTTGCCGTGTAATGATTTTCATATTGATTACTTTCAAGGATGATATGTTGTTTTTGTTGCACTTCAGTAAGTTGAAGTGAACCAGGGGCTAGCAGATTTAATAATAGGGCATTTTTATAAGGTCTGTTTTGTAAAACCAGATAACTGCATAAGTTATTTGTGACTCTTTTAACACAATTGAAAAATTCCCCATTCATGCATTGCAATTAAATGTGAGTTAGCGATGTTATTTGATGATGGCAGGCATTTATACAAAACTCTTGGTTTGCAAGTCAGGTCTTTGTAAGACTTTTTGAGGCAGATGATGGGCCCCATTCCCAGGATATTTCATATATTCGCCTATTTTCAAAAACGATCAGTTTATTCCTGAAAATTCCCATCCCAATTCAGTGTTCTCCCCAGGCTGTTTTAGTGTTATCGTAACAGTTCTGTTACACATGAATTTTTAGTCGCTACGTGTCACCTTTTTACCATTACGCATGCATTTGACCATTACATGCATATATGACTGGTACATCAAGTTCTTACTAGTTGATAACCTCTTCTCCCTTTTCCAATTGGACTTACCCTCATAAGACTAGGTATTTATTGTTCCCTACGATTGACACCCTGATCAACGAACTCTGTCCTGCAGGAAGATTTACCTTTGGGGATGTGAACTACCTGTACGTGTGAAGCGTGAACAAAAGATCACAATTACCAGCTTGTAATTCGTCTAATCATAATCAATGATGTCTGTTAATTATCAAGGCTTCAATCTACATTTTGATTTTCATAGATGATCAACATTTTCACTGAAATAGGAAATACGAACACAGAAGTACAGACCGTAGCTTTGTATTCAGTGAAATGCCAGACATCTGCTGACCTACCTTTGCTGCATTGTTTTTGGCCATCATATTTTAATGCTTGAAATAAGTTAGCTATTTGAGAAGCTTTTATCAACAACAATACAACTTTTGGAGAACAGTAAAATAGATCGTAAGTGAGCAGACTTCAGCATGAGTGTTTTACTTTTTCCTGAACTCTAATTGTGTCTAAGGTGTGGATGCCCAGCACCCATGTTTAAAAACCAAAGCGAGGTCAAGGATACAAAGGATGCAACCTGCTGTAGTCAAAGTGGAGTTTGTGTGTGAATTTACATGATGCTACATATGTACAGTAGCTGCTGTAGTTAGTCTATTACTGACCTAAACACAAAAACTTAAATAAAGTTACACGTACTCGCTGCAACATTGAGTTATAACAGACTTAAACACACACAAAACAGTCGGATGTACAGACATGATATGGGTAACACTTGGTGCTCCACACGAAATCACTCATCTTTTGATATGATGTTTTATTAGTATATTATATATATAAAATGTAAACATGTTTATAATTTTACATACGTTATGTATCAACATATCTGTTATCATTCAACACTTTTTGATACTGAGGCAATGTTTATGTGAATGTACACTTAACAAATAGATGAGCAAACTGCAGTGATTAGAAAAACCATGCACGATAACCATGGGTGACCAAAATTACGAAGTCAGTCAATAATTTTGAAAAACACATCAACAGAATATAACAAACATTTTACTGCATCATAAATATAAGTAAGGCCAAATAAAATAATATGTGTGTTTCCTATTCCCTCGAAATTTGAATCCAGGTAGGTAGGTAGGCAAAACATTTTATTTTATCAAAACATTTTATTTCTTTTTCAAATCTTATACAACCGATTGACTTTCTCTTTTGGGGAAGGGTTCTTCCTTTCGCCATCAATACTTGAAAGGCATCGACAGCTTTTACTGTGGCTTTTTCTGAGGATTGCACAATTAAATCAAGGAAAGAAACAATCTGTTTTGAGCATAAAAAAAGCAGTACTCGCACACCAAAACCGTTGGCGATATCTCCGATGTTTAAATTTCCATCAACATCAAACAATTCAGTGTTTGCGGAACACTTTATGGCAGTTGTATACCCTTTTAGGTCTGTTGGGTGGTATGTCCCATAAACATCCAAAAGCGGGGTCTTGTTTGGAAACGACGCAAGGTGCTTCGTTTCCGCAATATGATCGCATTTCGCTAATTTGATGGCCAAAATGGAACTTTCTGTTCCGATGGCTGCCATGTTGCTGTCAATGTCAAATCACGAAGACGTTTGACACTCACAATACATGTGTGTCAAGCGCTTTATTGACGGCGTACCAAGTAAAAACTAATAACAAATAAGACACATTCCGGAAAAATTTAAGTCAAACAAAAATTGGCGAAAAAAACGTTTCAGGTCGGGCACTTTTTTTCCAGGTAGGTCGGGGAACCGGAAACACACATATTATTTTATTTGGTCTATGCTGTCTAAAGCTGTCATTCGTAGGCTAGCACATCGTATAGACCAATAAAGGATCACTTTAAAATGTTGATCAAAGAACTAAAGTAATTTTTGATATCTTTGTGATCATAAACATGTGTCACTTTAATTGTCACATGAATCATGTTTTGAGTAATGTTTCATGCAAATAGTCATCTTTGAAATCCAAAGGTTTCACTCCTGATATACATACATTTTCTCTGTACCATTAGATTCTCTCATAACAGAATTGAAGGCTCTTAATATTTTGATTGGTTCCAGACTGACATCCTGGCCCTTACTTACATAACCTGGTATGTTCAGTAGGAATGAGACATGCTTAACAAAAGTGCAAAAAATATACAAGCTGAAAACAAGCAGAAATGAAGTGAAATGGTTTATTTTTAAATTGTGTTTTCCTTATTTGAGTATTGAGCCTTAATGTATATGTTGGCCACTGTGTGCCATCAGCTCACCTAGCCTCCCTGACCCAAGATCTTTTAGAATGCTGATGATTACTCTATATGAAATTTAGGTTAAAATCACTTCATCTTCAACTTGCCAATATTATTATGATGAAATACAAAATTACAAAACCCGAAACAACTGATGTAATTCTAGATTTTTAAAAGGCCTTTCAAATAATGTATGCCTTGATTCAGATATGTTGTGGGCTTCATTAGACCCTTGATACTATGATTTTGGCACACCAATATGAGCGTTGACTTTTGGGTTTGAAAGGACATGTCTGTTTGACATTTTGACTCCAAAAATTTCAGAAAAAAACAACTGTTATTTGACTTCTGAATTTGTTAAATGTCAAGGGTTAACTGAAGGCTCTGATACTGTTACATAAACCCAAGTTTTTATTTGAGTGCATAAACCTATTTTCACAAAATGACATGTAGTAGTACCTCATTTTTTGGGGTATTAAGGATAGCTGCTTCTTGGGGATATTAAATATCACAGTATCAATGTCGACTCCTCGTGGTCTCTTTGTTGTCGCTCTTGGGTACACTGAGCTGACCTGTTTAGCAGTTGTGTATTATCAGTAAATGTAGACCTGAGGAGCATTTTATTATACTTAGATTTGGATGTTTACTACAGTTATAGCTGGGTCACTTAAATTTGTCAGCTATAGAGATGCTTCAAACATTCCCATTGAGTATTTCTGTTTCCCCAAGATGTTATGTTTATTGACTCTGATTCTGAGTGATATCTTACTAATAATTGCAATCTTTAAGACTTTTTTCGCACCTGTCTGGTGATACATGACAGCATCAGTCTTAGTCGGATAGCAGGTAGAGTAGACATGCTCCCACAAAGGGAAGCTAGGATATTGAGTTTTGTGTTTTATGTTTACAACCTTCACAGCTCTGCATGCACTTGTGTGGTAGGTTATTAGCTATAGCGTAGTAAACTTCACCATCTCTGGTATTGATCCAGCCCAGTAGGAAGTGCTGATTAATGAAATGGCTTTAACTTTAAGGTTACAAATTGTTTGATTTACTATGAACCATTAATACTGTGCATATATATCATTGGTTGGTGGTCAGAGTTTGTTCTAGTTTCGTTGGTAGTACATAATGTAGTACCACTGTTCCACATAGGAGAGCATTATAATTTACTATGTTCATTAGTAGGAATCCTTTTAGTAAACTGTATATCTATGGCTGGTCAGCCAAACTGCTAGCTGTGATCTGGTTGGAGTGAGGTGGTACATTATATAATACATATGACTTGCTTTCGTTAATTTCTGGAAGCATTAATAATGATGAAAAGGAAAAGAATTATTTACTAGTAATTCAATGACACATTCAACACATGGACATCTATAGCTAGTCATCTACCATGGTATGTTTTCAGTCTTTGCAACAAATGAAAACTTTAAACCATTACCTTGTAATACAAAAAGAGTAATTTGACAATAGTTTACGGTAATTCATGATGTTTCTTTTAATAGTTGTGAATAGGATGGGATGCATGACTATGTAATAAGAATATATGTGAAAAAACCTGTATTGATATTTAAAACCTGATTTTTTGTTATGTCTTTACCAAAATTTTGCATTATCCTGTACATATTAAGGACAAAAGATTTAGGTTGTTTAGTTACATTTATGTCCAGTGAAATGTTAATAGTACCCAACTAAAGTGTTTCAGTAGACATGTATATTGAATACTCCCTTATAAATAGCCCTTAAGTTGTATCATACAATTGAATTTAAATAGTAACTTAAGTTTTGCAGTGTTCAGAACATTGTTGGTGGTAATTATATGATATAACTAGTATAAGGCAGTGTATCAAATGATCAGAGAATCTTTCGTCAATAACTCGCTCAGATATTTGAGTTTCAGATACACAGGCCAGGGCTATTTTAAGTAATCATTTTAGAGCTAAACCAGATCAATGATATGATCTCTTGTGACCACAGGTGGCATCCTACCTCGCAGAACAGGACATCGAGGATGATGTTGATGACCAAGACCTGGAGCCTTCTACTTTCCTGCTGCCAACTGAGGGCATGGAAGCTTCCAATCTGCCATCTATAGACCCAGAGACGCACGCGCGCCTGGAGGCTCTATTAGAGGCTGCAGGTAAGGCAGCATGGCTTTTATGGCATTGTATTCAGCAGCTATTTATCTTCATGTTTAGCGTCCGTGAGTAAGTGTGGTGTCTGCTTTTGTTTGTAATGAAGAAAAATCTAAATATTTATGTAGAGAATTTCAAACCGATCTATTCATTACTATAACAGAATTGGTAACTGAGTAGATATTAAATGTGATTATGAAATTAGAACCAAACAAAAAGTAATGTAAGAAGAACTCTTTAAGTGTCAGCATTTGATTTTGTTGTGAAGCAAGAACCATTTTTCAGCTCTGTGTCTGCTTTGGTTCTTTTTTGGCGCATTAGGTATTGGAAAGCTTTCCACTGCAGATGGAAAGGCTCTTACTGATCCAGAAGTCTTAAGGAAACTCACATCATCAGTCAGCTGCGCTCTGGACGAAGCAGCACAAGCACTTCATAGAATGAGAGCAGAACAACAAGGCCAACTAGGGGTCATCGAGGGGTGAGTTAGATTCAAGATGACCACTATGTTCAAGTAAATTTATATCATCTTGCCAAAAATGCTCTGATTATGGCATTATTGACAATAAGATTTATAGTTTGTATTCTTAGGATAAGACCGGACATTTAGCTTAAATTTTAAAATGTTAGTTTCAACTGTTTTTTGTTAGCTTATCATTGAATGCAAAAATTAACCCTCAATAGTAATCAACCTATGCGAGACCCATCTTTTAACTCCATAAATAATTCACCAAGAGAAGTGTTTTGCTGTAGTTACTAAGTTTGATCCACAACAATACATTCCTGGCATTTTAGTTGAAGTGAAATCATGACGTCTTGTGTCAACTACACAATACAGATGCGAGTCGCAGTAGACCTATTGACAGATATTAGCATTAACATTTTTAAGTATCTGATTTGACAGTGTCTAAAGCACCTACTGAGCTAGCAAAAGTTTGTTATTATGTTTTTTTTGAGAAAAATTGAATTTGGGAGGGGTTGGATTCAAATTGCTGATAGTTAATTATCTAATAAAGCATCACTGCCTTCATTAAAGAGTCAACAAGTAACATTTAATAATGGTCATAGTTTTCTGATTGCTTAAGACTTCTTGGTCTAATATATTGTATTTACACAAGTCCTTTCAAGGTTGGACAGACATGAGTAAAACGGATTAAGTCTACGACTTTTCTGGTGTAAAAGTCAAATTGTGGAAAATGTTATATATAGTTACTTAAACATTTTACTCTGTCACTAGCTCAAGGTCGTTAGCAGAGGCCTGTAGTGATGGAGATGTACCCACCGTTCGTAAACTGCTTCACGAGGGAGGCAGTGTCCATGAGACAACAGAGGAGGGGGAAAGTCTTCTGTCTCTGGCATGTTCAGCGGGATATTATGAACTTGCACAGGTAAAGCCCATTCTTATTGCAACTTCCTTTCTTTAATTGTAATCTTTGAGGTGCAAGATCTGCAATTTTCTTTTTCATGTATAGCTTCTGGTATCCTATCAAAACAACTTGATTAGATAACAAAAATGACTATATATGTAAATAGTCTGTGTATTGCTTCTTTGTTAAAAGAACAAATCTTTCTGATGTAATACTCGGATAATTCAGTTATCTAATACATTTTTGTGTGTTTGTGAGCCATGATGTTATGCTATATTGCACAAGTTTAACATAATCTTATGTTATTTTATATTCATATTAATGAGATGTATGTGCAGGTGTTGTTAGCCATGAAAGCCAATGTTGAAGACCGGGGCATTAAGGGAGATTGTACACCTCTAATGGAAGCTGCCAGTGGGGGATATGTAGACATAGTCAAGCTGCTTATCACCCATGGAGCAGATGTCAATGCCCAGTCATCAGCTGGTAGGTGATCCTCTGTAATATTTAGTCCTCACTTTGACAATATACTGCCCTTAAACTGCCTTTGCTGTAAGATTTTGTTGGTCAAGAATTAATTGTTTTTGCCGTCAGATTTGATTATTTAAGCTGAGTCAAGAGTGATTCAACAACACTAATACTGTTCAATGTATAACAAACAATTCAGTACTTTTATGGCCACAAGAAGAAAGCTATGTCTGAATAGAATCTGATGATCATCCTTGAGGTCTAGAAATGTATGGTAGGAGATAAAATCATTGAATTATATAAATGGATATTGTTAAAAGAAAATGTTTTGAAAGATTACAATTTTATAATTAGATAGAATGAAAGATTTAATGATGTAGAAAGCATCATTATTAATTGAAAAAGGAAAATTATGATTTATTGTTTTTGCACCAGGTAACACACCTCTACACTATGCCGCCTGTGGTGGCTACGAGGACGTGGTACAGGTTCTGATAGATGCTGGTGCAAATGTGGAACAGCATAATGAAAACGGACACACCCCTCTTATGGAGTCTGCCAGTGCAGGACATGTTGGTGTGGCTCGCATACTTCTCAGCTCTGGTGCTGGCATCAACACCCACTCAAACGAGTTCAAGGAGAGTGCTCTGACCCTCGCCTGCTACAAGGGTAAGCTTGAATGAAGCTAAAAGATTTACTATTGTAGCAGTAAAAGTTTCAAGAAGATATAAACTTGCATTTAAGAAAAATAAATCTTGAAAAACATTTATGAAGGAAAACAAATCTGACATCAACATTTTTCAAACTCTAGTTTTTGAACTGTTTATTGACTGATAAGAAAATGTCACTGCACTAGCAGGTTGTTTTGAGAAGTAAGAAAAAAACGTTGTTTCCAAACTAGTGTAGTTATTAGTTGAACGTTAATTTTTAAATTTCTTAACCTTCACCTTTACTGAAATAGCAGTGATTGTTTGTTGACAGGTCATCTGGAGATGGTGAAGTTCCTGTTAGAGGCTGGAGCTGACCAGGAACACAAGACAGATGAGATGCACACAGCACTTATGGAGGCTTCCATGGATGGACATGTGGAGGTAGCCCGCCTTCTTCTCGACAGTGGTGCACAGGTTGGTACATTGTAAATTACTTAAATCGCTTATCAAAATTTTTGGATATCATCTGGCTCCTTGAAAACTGGTTGATCGTAATTGCTCTTTAAAGAGAGTAAGGTCTCAGAAAAACATCCATTGGGTAGTAACATGGATTGATAAATGTGTGATTTATCCATGAATTATTACGTGTTTTTTTTAGCACTGATAAAACAGATAATCGCATAAAAATGGTGAACATTTTGCAGTGTATTACTGTATTTTTTCAGTGTATTACTATATTTAAAAATATAAAATGCTTAGAAGTGATTTTAAACCTCATTTATTTGGTTTGAAGGTGAACATGCCCGCAGACAGTTTTGAATCACCCTTGACCCTGGCTGCCTGTGGAGGCCATGTAGACCTTGCTAGTCTGCTCATAGAGAGAGGAGCTAACCTAGAGGAGGTTAATGATGAGGGGTACACACCACTCATGGAGGCCGCACGGGAGGGACACGAAGAGATGGTGGCACTTCTTCTGGCTCATGGTAAGTATTTGCCTTTCCTATTAAAATAGGAACTGTTGTAATAATATCTGCATGTGAGAACTATTCAATATATGATTGTGTATGGGAAATATACACATTTTTTTATATTAAATATATTGGTGATCTATCATATTTGCTAACATTTGTAAAGTGGGTCACATAAAATGTCTTCATGCCCACCCGTTTATTAATATCTGTATAAGCCCTTCGACTGTATTAGTAGTTCAAATTTCTTGGACTTGAAATATAGATTGATAGTGTACATTGTATGGTTGTTTGTGTGTAGCAGCTGACCTATAGATTAATAGTGTACATTGTATGGTTGTTTGTGTGTAGGAGCTGACATAAATGCCCAGACTGAGGAGACACAGGAAACAGCTTTAACCTTGGCTTGTTGTGGGGGATTTCTTGAGGTTGCAGACTTCCTCATTAAGGCAGGTGCCGACATTGAGCTCGGCTGCAGCACACCTCTGATGGAAGCTGCCCAGGAGGGTCACCTAGAGTTAGTTAGGTACCTCCTCAAAGCAGGTCAGTTTCCCAGTCATTTGGACTTTAAGCAAAACGTACAGGAAATTGCGCATCAAGGGAAAAGAGGGGGGAAATGTCTGTAATAATTTGCAGATAATGAAATTCAATAATTTAATGAAAATGGAATAAAACCAACAGTTACATGACTTTTGTTTAATTTTCATGATACATGTATTTGATGGATACCAAATGACCTAACTTCATTAGCTAAACTTTAAAACATTTCTGAATTTATACATCAACAGGTGCAAATGTACGTGCTCAGACAGGAACAGGGGACACCGCTCTGACATACGCATGTGAAAATGGTCACACTGATGTAGCTGAAGTTCTACTCCAGCATGGAGCTGACCTGGTGAGACAAGTAATCTGAACCGCATCACTCAAGAATCAATATTTCTAGCTTTAATACATTTTTGTCAATTTCTGCATACTTTAAAAAAAACAGACAGTATCACTGACACACAATTAAAAACAAATTACTGACACCCCATTTAAACAAATTATGTTTGTACAGTGACCTATATTTGCATGTAGAATTTTTACCACATATCAGGAACACATTTATTTTACGCGATTAACTAAAATCAGAACTTTCAAAAGTCATACCTATTGCACTGTAACATTATATCTTCATTGTCACTGTATTGACAAAAGATATGGTAACACTAACTTTAAAACTAATAATTGAAGAAGGTAACATTGTTTTAAAAATTGAATATATCAAAAATTTGTCATGATAATGCAAAGCTGATTTCTTATCAAACTATTGCTTTTTTACCAAAATGTACTGGTAAAGCTATGCTGTGTTTCCTAGGAACATGAGTCTGAGGGAGGAAGGACACCATTGATGAAGGCTGCTAGGGCAGGTCACCTGTGTACAGTACAGTTCCTTATCAGTAAAGGTATGCAATACATAAACATGTTATGGTGTCGGTTAAAACTGTGTCATGTTTGTTAAAAACATTCAGTAGAAATTTATATACTTACATATGATTGTCTCTTTCTGGCTTGTCTGCCTGACAACACCCCTTACCCTTTAATATCAATACGAAGAAAGTACTAACAAAATAAAGATTATTTTTCCTATTACTGTTAAAATAATGGAAGGGGAAATCTTTTTAGAATTATCATTCATATTATTAAGTTGTTGGGTAAAGTCCCATCAGTACAATTCCTTTTGGGACTGTTTCAGAAAACAATTCATTGGTGGGGGGTGTCCTTAGGCAACTGATCAATATTATAAATCTTTATTAATTCAGGGATAATTCTTATTTGATAAATGTTGAATTTCCTCAATTCAGAGAAGTTTACTAGCTGAATGTATTTTACAGGTGCCGATGTGAACAGACAGACATCCACCAACGACCACACAGTGCTGTCTCTGGCTTGTGCAGGTGGTCATTTAGCAGTAGTTGAACTCATGCTAGCCCATGGTGGTGACCCAGCACACAAACTCAAGGTAAGCTCACCTTAATATGAAAAGATATCTGATGCTTATTACCAAAAATTATGGCTAAGCATAAAAACTAGCTATTTACAAAAATTGGCAAATTGTCTTGACATTTCATATTCATTTTGGTAGGGTTAGACCAAAACATTGCAGAGGAGTATTTTGTTACCGCTGAGTGAAACAGTTTCAAGGAAAGCAGATTTAGGTCAATGTAACTGATTATAGGGAAAATATTATAAAATACATAGTGACTTTAGCCACATCTTCATCAAGGATATCAGTATATAAACTAACAACATTGAAAAATTAGCAGCTGAGTTCATAGCTTTGTGATATTCTGCACTTCAGGATGGTTCCACTATGATCATTGAGGCTGCTAAAGGAGGCCATACCCAGGTGGTGAAGCTACTGTTGGAATACCCCAACAGGGTCCTCATGAACTCCTCACCTGACCTTGCCCAGCTTACTGATCCTCACCTGTCAGAGGTAATGCATATGTAATTACTGCAAAGTTCCAGAACTTGTATTCACTATAGAACAGTCACGTTAAATAAGTAAAGTAACTCAATTTCTAGGAAAACAGTTGTTGCATGTGTCCTTTTGTTAGTAATTGTCACCATGCCTCTTTAACTTCATTAGAATTTTTTGAATTTTGAACATTATTTCCTGGAGATGTTTTGATGAATAATCAGCTGATAAGACTTTTTTACTTTTTTAAACATCTTTGTTTTGACCGGAGAAAACTAATTTGTATTTGATCACTGTGTGCATTGTACCCTTGACTATTGACAGGCTCGTGTTCCGGTTCATGGTCTGGCCAATATTGTCCCACCCAGTGATCCTGATTCTACTCCATCTACCAACTTTACACCCAACATACAACCAGGTATAACAAAATCTTTAAATGGAGTGTTAGAAAGATCTGGTCAAATTGTTCAATGGTACAGAATGTGTATACATATATAATGATACATAATAGAAATATCTTTATGCTATTAATTTTATCATTCATAGTTGAATGATATGAATTACAATTTTCTGTATGCAGTGATAACGGCATTTATCCTTTTAAGATGAACGCTGTTCTAATAGTATTGACTATGTTATAAGCTCAATGTTTTTTCTTTCAGGGGCTACAACAAAGAAACAGGGAGAGAAAGATATCAATATTCCAGTCAGAACCCAAGAGGTTTGGAAAAATGTACAGAAAAATATTGGCAAAAGGCCACATAATGGAAATGGTGAAACTGTTGTTAAAACAAACAAGTCCAATGTTCCCTTGCCACCATCTGATGTTGCGTCAAATAATGCCCAATATCAATATGGGGAGATCGGAAGTTTGCCTGATTTGATACCTGAGGAAACTCTTGATGTGAAAGCAAGAGAGCGCTTAGAGGCTATCATTAACAATGTGATGGACAAAGAATTAGACAATACATCCACAAAGGAGGAACAAATCTTGCGCAAACAACAGATTTTACAGGAATTACAAAAGGTTGAGAGAGAACTTCAAGAAAAGGCACAGGCTCAACTGCTGATCAGTGCTCAGCACCAAAGGGAGCAACAGCAACAGCAGCAACATTTACAACAAGTTCTACAACAAGGGGCCAAGGTCCTGCAGCGCACCCTCGAGGGCCAAGTCAAGCGCAAGCAGGATGACTCTCCAGTAGATGGTCAGTCTGCGGATGACCAAGATAATCAGGATCTGGCTGAGTCCTCACAAGGGTCCAATGACCTGGATAAACAGGTTACTAGTCTGTTTGCGCCCGATGGGTCCACTGTAGGACAGATTGTGTTCCCCAATATACCATATGATGGGCTGTTACCTTTGACCTCTAGTCAGACACCACAGCCTGGCACCGAGGTTGTCATGGAGGGTAACAAGGAGGCTTGGGCCCGAAACAATGGAAATGTGCCAGTCAAGCGGAACGGTAACAAAGCAGGGACACGTGGCAGTGGGGGTATGAAGGTTTCAAACACAACTACTGCTACCACCACTACAACAACTGCCACCTCTTCATCACAAGTCAACGGGGTCGCAAATGTTGATCAGGGTAAGTAGAGCAAGTGTTCAGAAAAGAGTTGTAGCATTGAATAATTTGTATATATAATTGACAGATAGTACTGCCTTGGAAGAAGGACAAATTGGCTTGAATATGATGTTTAAAAAACTTGATTGAAGAAAAATTGATGATAATTACCTAAAATTTGCGTTCATTCATAATAGGTTTACAACAGCAAGCGACTCCAGGTTTGCAGCAGACTGCAGGTAATGGTAATTCCACACTGGCACTGTACCGTCAGCAGATCCAAAACATCCAGGCAGTACGCCAACAACAGCAGCTGACTGCTCCCCAGGTTCAGCAGCAACATACTCAGACAATCCAATTCCCCCAGCTCCAGCTGACACCGGAGCAGCAAGAACAGCTACTGCAAATGCTAAGTCAGCAGACCCTGCCCGGCCAACCTCTGGCACCACAACCTCTTGCTCAGCAACAGTTCCTTCAACAGCCTGCCCTGCCCCAGACAGGGGTTCAGCTTCTTCCTCCTCCCCAGCCCCAGGGGGCGCCACCGGCAGGGCAGGCTCAGCAGACACAGGTGGTGCCCTCGTCTGCAGCAGCAACAGCAGCTGCACTAACACAACAGCAGTATCTCACCCAGCAGCAACAACAACAGCTGCTTCAACAACAGCAGCAGGCCCAGCTGCTGCAACAACAGCTTCAGCAGCAGATCAAACCGCCTCAACCAGCGCCTCCAGCTGTTGCTGTGCCAAAAAATGCACGCAAGCAGAGGAACCTATACAATACCCAGACAGTATTACAGCCTGGAACTGTCTTGTCACCTGCAGGCAGTGGAAGTCTGGAGAATATCACCCCACCACCTTCAACACCTCTAACCCCCAACCCCTCTCCTGCATCACCACAGAGCATTTCTCCACTGTGTGCTCCCATTGACCTTGATGCACAAACTGAGAGTAACCACGACACTGCATTGACTCTGGCCTGTCACGGTGGTCATTCAGAGCTAGTCAACCTTCTCCTGTCCAAGGGCGCTGATATTGAACACCGAGATAAGAAAGGTCAGTATTTGGCACTGCAATCCTGCAGCAATGAGATCAAAAAAATTGGAAGGGAAGAGGAACATTTCATTGCTATTTAGAAAGTTAAAGGCTTGATAGCCTTTGCAATCATGCTTTAATTATTGAATTATATAAAATGAAACCTTTTTAAAGCGATTATGTTATGCTTATGGAAATGATTAAAACAAGGAAAAAACTAACTAATATTAAGTAACTTTACATCCTACTAAAGTTTGTGCTGTTTAGAAGGGTAAACATAGGTATAATCTGAGTTGTATGATTTGCAGGCTTCACACCGCTTATCCTGGCTGCCACAGCAGGTCATGTGGATGTTGTAGAGATCCTCTTGGACCATGGAGCTGACATGGAGGCTCAGTCAGAGCGGACCAAGGACACCCCACTCTCTCTGGCATGCTCAGGGGGACGGTATGAGGTAGGAAACCAGTAAAGTTTTTGCTTGTTTAAGAAATATTTTTACTGTTTACAGTGGATGAAAAAATGCTATCACTACCTACAAGTCATTTGTGTTACATGTTACACCCATAGTAAATTTTATAGAATTACAGTATAAGCCCTTTCATGGTATTGGGTCACCCATGTCCATTACAGCTCAGTAGGAAGGCCACAAATTTTACTTCATTTTGCTGCCATACGCCCATCCCCGTACTTAGTATATGTGTTGGTACAGTATGTGTTATTAAAATTTGGTGATATATGTGCAATACTAATATTGATTTTCTTGAGAGTAATGTTAGTTTTCTATCCAAAAATGCAGCCAGTTTTCTCAGATTTATTTCTAACGATGGTCATCTAACTATTATCTAATGAACATAGAGTCTTGTGAATCAAAGCAGTCTTAATTATATATTACATGACATTGCATTGTTTTATCGACTTATCTATAGGTTGTTGAGCTGCTGTTGGGACGAGGTGCCAACAAGGAGCACAGAAATGTGTCCGACTACACCCCATTAAGTCTGGCTGCTTCAGGTGGATACGTAAACATTATCAAGTTGCTGTTGTCTCATGGAGCTGAAATCAACTCCAGGTAAATCAATCAGGAAATTTTTAACTATTACTTATAATGATCATAAACTAATAAAGAATTCTTAACCTGATTTAGTCACTAACACTAATATCACTAAGGGTCCTCTAAATTACCTTTACCAGTTTTACTGGATAAAGAGCTAGTGTAGTTTTGAAAGCAGAGTATATTTTTGATGTGCTTTTTTCAGCTAAATTAATTTCTGTAAGGAATTAATTTCAGTATATTAAATAGTATATTGGTTACGAATTCTCAACTCAGAAAATATGTCAGCAATATATTTTCCGACTTCATTTAAGTTCAGTTACATTCAATACAGTTTTACTGTTATCCTAAACTTGCCATACATTTTAATCATTTTGTGCTAGTGATATATTAACTTCTCTGTTTCATGCTCCATCATGATACATTGTTGATACTTTTAGGATCGAGACATACCAGTAATGAATTGATGATTTGCTGTTTGTTTTTAAGGACGGGAAGTAAGCTAGGGATATCCCCTTTGATGCTAGCAGCAATGAATGGTCACACACCAGCTGTGAAATTACTACTCGACATGGGCAGTGATATCAATGCACAGGTAAATGTCAAAATATTAAGCAAAATGGTGTTATAGTTTGAAGAATTAAAAAACTAAATACTTTATTTAATAAAAAAAAAAATTGTTTTGTTGAGTCTTTCAAAAGCTATGAAGAACTGAATAGTTGTAATATATTGGTGCTGTATTTGTTAACAGATCGAGACCAACAGGAACACAGCATTGACACTAGCCTGCTTCCAAGGTCGTCATGAGGTTGTCAGTCTGTTGGTGGACCGTAAAGCTAACATTGAACATCGTGCAAAGGTTTGCTCAACATCTTTGATCTAGATATCTATATAAATTACCTGGTACAAGCATAGAGTCAAAGTTATATCAAATCATTGTTGTCAATTAATTTGTCTGTTCAGATGTTTTCCTTATATCTGATGTTTCATTTTGGAGATATGGAAACGAAGATTCTGATTTGATTTTTAAATCATCACCATTTTGCTATTTACCGACAGACGGGTTTGACTCCACTGATGGAGGCGGCGTCTGGAGGCTATGTTGAAGTAGGACGAGTTCTCCTTGACAAGGGAGCTGATGTTAATGCCCCACCTGTTCCATCCTCACGTGACACTGCTCTTACCATCGCTGCCGACAAGGGCCACTACCGATTTGTTGAACTACTTCTCCTTAGGTAATTACTTCTTGCTACTCCAAAATAAATCCCTTATATCCATGGTTAGGTTTCCTGTCGGTTACATCTATGCAAATGATTAAACTCTATGAGTGGTACACCTAAACCTGGATTCCTTTAGTGGAATAGATCAACTACTTGAATAACTCGTCAACTCCTCTTAAAATGTTAATACACCAGCGAACAAAACGTTGGTGGGGGATGTTAAATTGAAATGGGCCAATTTGCCTTTCAACACATAATCATCAGAGCTACTTAATACTACATAGATTTCAGAAATACTTTATACTTTATAAGCATGCAAAGAAGTGTTCTAAGTATTGATAAAATATATTCGTTTTTCATTTGACCCTTCTTTTTTTGTCAGTTTGGAACAGGAATCCTGTTTATCGCCTTAATCACTTTTAACACAATATAAGTTTCTTATTCTAATAGATAAACCTGATAGGTGAAATATGTGAAGATAAGAAGGTTTGACAGACATACTACAGTCTCAACATTTTTGTGATGACGAGGGGAAAAATTCACATGAGATAAACAATTTTGTATCATTGTAGAGGTGCTGCTGTGGATGTGAAAAACAAGAAAGGCAACTCTCCTCTCTGGCTGGCATGCAATGGTAAGTACCATATGAAATTAAATTTGGCCGGTAAAAATGATTCGACTAGAGTCAAGGAAAAAAATCTTCTTATAATTAAGAGACAGTTATTACAAGGTGAATGATTGTCCTATTCCTTTTGTTGCAGGGGGACATTTGGATGTTGTTCAGTTGCTGGTGTCGGCTAAGGCTGACATTGATAGCCAAGACAATCGTAAAGTCACCTGCCTGATGGCATCATTCCGTAAGGGGCACATTAAGGTGGTGAAATGGATGGTAAAACACGTCAATCAGTTCCCCTCTGACCAGGAGCTAGCACGATACATTTCAACTGTCGGGGATAAGGTAAATGAAGTTTAACAGTCTTCTCTGAAGTGGACATCCCTTGGGCCTCATAATTTTGCCTGTCTGCAGATTGTAGATAGTCTACTTGTTATACATGGTCATTATCAAAATCAAATCAAGTTGTTTTAGACAAAAATCTGGATTGGACAGAGTTAAGTTTCCAGTAAGACCGTGTCCTGAAGAATACATTTTAATATTAGATACGTTTCAAGAGTATCTAATTTTCACTTTATTTGCAAGATTATGAAAAATAATATATATTTTTTTTATCATGTGTAGTCAGTAACCGAGCATTGATAATCAGTTCTTCCAGATTAGAAAGAAAAGGTATATACCTGATTATAGTAAAGGCACATTACTATTGACTCAGCTTAGATGTTATTTGTCAACGGAGCAATATGTCAAAGTTGACTGAAAATAAACAGCAATGGCCAAATTGGGAGTGAAAGGCATGCTTTTAAAAGAACCTGTGGTGAAAATTAGAGCCTAGACTATAATGTGCCTGTCACAAAAAGGACAAATGATAATTTGAAACCCTGACTATTGTGAAACATTACTTGTAATGGTGTATTTACCTTACCTTTACCCAGGAGCTGCAGAAGAAGTGCCAGCAGTGTAAAGAGATCATTGTAAGTGCCAAAGATCGCCAAGCAGCTGAGGCTAACAAGAATGCCACCATTCTGTTGGAGGAGCTAGACAAGGAGCGTCAACATGAGGAAAACCGCAAAGCTGCCGCTGCTAAGAAACGTGAGCGCAAAAAGGCAAAGAAGCGGGAGAAACAACAGGAGAAGGAGAAAGAAACGTGAGTCTATACTTTGTCAAAATTGAAAGTCATGCATAGATGAAGAATTTGGGCCTCTATTAATTATACAGATCTAGGGGCAGGAGGTTGGTTATCTCAAAATACATACAGGACAGGAAGATTAATTTAGTTACTTCTTAGTACCTGAAACTAAAAAATATGAGGGATGAACCTCTAGAACATGGGATGAGGGGCTAGAATTGGTTAGAATTTGGTTACTGCCACATACTTGAAACTAGGAGCACAAGGGATGGAATAAGTAACTTTACCTAGGGAATTACCTAAGTTGTCACTTTGTCAAAGAGTATATCTCGAGAAACTTCCACCTTACCTTATTCTGTATGCAGATACATTTTCAATGGTGTAGTGTCACATACTGATGTTGGATCTCTTTTATGTACATTTATCGCCTTTTGTTCATCATGCATCGCTTTATGTAGGGCATATCTTATACACTGTGTCGCCTACAATTGCCAAGTTTATTATTTGTGAAATTTGGTCTAGAGTCATGGCTCTTTGTTCATTTACCCTACTAAGGTTTATTCAGAGGTGGAGGACAATTGATTTGCTCATTATTTTTACCTTTACCTTATCTATGATATTTAATACACCAAGTTTAGTTTGCTGTGTGTCCTGTGATACTTGCTGCTGTAATGTAGTAACACTTTGCTGGGTTGTAGTGAGGATGACTGTCTGGTGAACTGCAGTGTAGATGACAGTAAGAACTCGTCTCCGGAGCCTGAATGTAACAGTGTGGAGGAGAACCCAGGGTCAGAGGATAGTAATGATGTGGAGGATTTAGTCATGGAACCACCAACAGCCACCATTGTGTCCACTATTGGTCAGTATTCACAAAACTTCTTTAAGTCCAAAGCAGTCATTAACACATGCTAAAGGTCTAGTTATTGTCGCATAATATGGCGTTGTGTAATCATGACATAATTGTTACCATCATGTAAAAAAGTTATTCTTGCTATTGTAAAAAGAAAATTTTAAAACAATGTAGGAATAAAATGCCTTGAAACACATTTAATAATTGATATCAATTCTGTACAATGAAAGTGACAATTTGGATATTTTGCTCTGTAGGAATAGCATTGCCTACAACTAACACGGAGCCAAAATTTAGCAAAGTGAACCGCATGAAGCCAACCACTAACACCAACAATAAAGTGGAAAGTGGCAAGGTGAACTCAACTGAGTCCAAGAAAAATAAACGAAACCGCGAAAAACGTGAGCGATACCCAGATGTGGAGAACATGCCAATCCCTACAATGTCTAGTTCTAGTGGTGACATCACCACAACAACTACCACCATTACTGTGCGGCCAAGTCCAGGACGAGCAAACAACAGGAACAGCACAGCCACTCGCAAGAAAAAGGGGGAGCGTGATCAGGTGCTCAAGAATGCGAGCACAGGTAAGACAAATTTCTGTAGGGCAGGTTACGGGGACACCATAGAGACACTGATGAATAATATAAATGGTAATTGGATATGGTTGGACACTTTAATTTTTGATGGAAGAAGTTACTTTAAATTTAACAGAAGAATCCAGATGTTTTCTAGGGTTGTTTTGTGTGTTGCTTTAGAAATAGGTATTGCCAGATTTTATTAATGTACAGAAATGTAGTGAATTTAGATCTGTTTCATATCTTTGCTTTTCATATCTGTCAGGCATTGGTGATTTGGATGACTTTGGAACATTACCTGAGAATATGAAGATCAGTGACAGAGAGCTGGAACGAATGAAAAAAACGGGAGGAAAAGTGAAATCTTCTGGGTTAGTATATATGTGACAGCTTGTGAATAAACTTACTTCCAATCAAGTGGTAATTCTCAAAAAGGTATGAAATTTTGTATTACAGTTTCTAAAGTATCTTGTTTTAGAAGTTCTGCATATTTTGATGCATGATTTGATTTATGAAATTATTTTTACAATTTTTACTTTTTATGGCAGATCTGATGTGGATAACAAGAAACATCACCACTCTCATCCAATGTCGGACAAGGGCAATGTCGAAGTGACCACCACCCCTTCAAATCTTTCTGTGAAAACGTCGTCCCTTGTCAATAGTCCAAAGAAGGGACAAAAGAAGGAGGAAGGCTGGAAGGAAGTCACTAGAAAGTGAGTTTCTTTCTTCTTTATTCCATTCGTGATTCAAACTTTACCATTGATATTTATTATGTGTTGCCTGTGTAATATATACATACAAAGTAGGCAAATAAATCCCTTCGGAGTGTTTTATCTGTCTTTATAGTTACATGTATAGCTGTGGTTGATCTGTACCAGTATTCCAAAACAAAAGACAAAAAAAATATAATCTTTTGTACAATAACTTATTCAGAGTACTAGCCCCCATGGCCATGGAAAATTTATAAAAAAAATTGGAGAGAGAAAAAGGAAATTTTCACTAGCCAAGCACAAAATCTACAATAACTTTTTATGCGTTTTTGTACTATCACACACCTCTGCAAAACCACATTTGAAGGTATTTAGAGAAAGCTCTTTGAGGTATTAGTGACTTAAAACAGGCTCTAATAAAACCTTGGTATATGTTGAGTTTTGATGTTTAATGACAGCCTCATGCAGCTCTGAAATATCCTGACAGTGCATTTTTATTTCATTTTCAGGAAATCCTCAACCGCTCCTGATGTTAAAGGTCCAACAGGCAGAGACAGGTAATTCATATGTAAAGGATTCGGAAATGTTACCATAAGATTGGAAATTTTATCTCCATATTTGGTCAAAGGTGAAATTAGTATGTTTGAAAATGAAATCAAATGGAGTTTTGATTAAGTTATAACATTGTTTCAGATCCAAGAAAGTGCAGGTGCCATCAGCAGCTATCAGTCGAGTGATTGGACGAGCAGGATGTAACATCAATGCCATTCGAGAGGTGTCTGGGGCCCACATAGAGGTTGAGAAGCAAAGAGGCTCCGGGGAACGTGTTATTACCATCAAGTATGTATTCCTCTTGTTGTTTTGCAAGAGGAGAAGAATATTCACAGCTGTATGTGTTAACTTGTCACAAAGTGCCAACTTCTGTATATATATCGGCTAACAGTTATAATGATAAGTGACAACATTATTATATCGGTTCTTAACAGAATCATTGATTGGCAACTGCAATTCATTCAAATTTGCTTTAAGGTCAAGAGTACCATCAAGTTGAAATACACAATCATCATCACAACTTCCATGAAGTATAAGTTTCATTCCTACAGAAGTAATCGATATAAATCACATTTTGCAATACAAAGTAATATAACAAAACAAAAAACAACAGGGAAAAAACTTGGGATGTACACATTTCACTTTTATCCAGGAATTAAAAATGCACACCATCAAAAGGAGAGATGGAAAGATTAGGACAAAGGAATTAACAATAAGCCAGAAAAAAATGCATGAGAAGAATTTTAAGTTTGGAATTGACAGTCATATACTGTTCATTATAAGTATTTTTGTTCCAATCATATTTATCTATGTAGTTGCTTACATCGTCGTGTTATGTACGTGATTGTGTAGGAATTATAGAATTTAAGTAACTTTCTAAATTCCAGGGGTTCTGCTGATGCCACTCGCCAGGCGCACACCCTGATCTCTGCCCTGGTGTCTGATCCCGACAAAGACTTGCAGGAGATCATTCCCAAGTTGAAATTAAAGCCCTCCTCGTCCTCCAAGGATCAGTCCATCTACTTCTCAGTGGATCCAACCACCACTGCCCTGGGCACCATCAGTAACAACATCATGAACCCTGGTTCACAGGGCCTTGGCCAGAAGTCCATCGGTAACTGGATACCTGTGAGGAGTCAGCCTGGGAGTGTAACCTCTGCTGGAGGGACAGGTATCAGTAATGGAGTTCTCCGTGTGTCAGGAGGCTCTATGGCCAACCCTCCAACTGGTGGAGGTATTGTGTGGGGCAACACACCACCACAAAACATCGTCAGTTCTCCTAGACGCAACCAGACAAAGCAGTCCCCTGCAGGTGCAGCATTTCCCTCACCAGTAGGGAGTGGTTCAGACAAGACAGCCATGCGACAACTGTTCCCTAATGAGAACAAGAAGGGAGGTGGTTTTGGCAGTCCATCTCAGCCATCCACCAACACCACTGTCACATACAGTTTGGCATCAACTTCTGCTGCCAAAGTCTCGACAAGTGCTTCAACGTTTGTGGTGAAGTCAGATAATGGAAAGTCCTCTAGTTGTGGAAAGTCATCACAAGGGAGACAACCAGGACCTGGCTCCATCAAGGTTTTGCAGAGGCCAGCTAGCCAGAAGCAGGATCCACTTCCCATTATAAGTAACCAGCAGGTTGCCAACTCTGGCCTTCCTGTGACGTCTGTTGATGGCCATCCTGTGATACCATCCAATGCCAGCGGAATGCCAGGCTTCTCTCCCTTCAATAATGCATTTAGCAATGTAGCGGAACAGGTTCTTGGGAACAAAAAGGATGATATTGCAGAGAGAATGAATTTTGCCAGTGTTGCTGCAGCAGGAGTAGTTTCATCCATGGTGAATTCCAACAGCCCTACACCAGACATGCTGAAGAGTGATGCTTCCCTACAGGCTAAGGCTCCGGGATACAGGGGACATGGCTCAAAGCCATTAACACAGCAGGACTTAGCAGATCCTACCAATAACCCAATATTTATTGGAGGGTTCCCACAAAATCTTGCAGACTTGGAAGCGGCCAGAACACCTGGGTACAGAGGAAACATGCCAAACCAGTCCCCGTCAATGTCACCACGTTCCGGATCATCTACCTCAGGTGGGCTGTCTCCACGAGGACAGCACATGATGATGGATCCCAACCAGTTATCCATGGGCTCCATACCGTCTTTGTCTAGTCAGAAGGACGAGTATTCCACACCATCACAACCCATGACTTTACCCAAGATTGAGAGTACGCTCAATCCGAATGCACCGAACTTTACATCACGACAGCCAGGCCAGCTAAACCACCAGGGTCCAAATGTACCGAACCCCTCCTTCCCAATGGGCTACATACAGAGTCTGTACCAACAAGCCTTGGCACAACAGCTAATCCAGCAGGCTGCACCAGGTAAGCCTCCACCAGGTAATGCACTTTTTACTTTTATTTCTCAAGACTAATTCTTTGAATTTTGTAACTAACAAATATCCCATAGAGTTATTTCCAGTCATGTTTTTTATGAATTTTATAACAAAAGTGATTTAGATGGATCATCAACACAAATATGCAAATGGGATAAAACAGGTCAGGGAAACCAGTGATGTAAAAAGTGAACATGGTTATTAATAGTTGTGCAAAATATTTTATCTGAAATATAGTAGGATTCTTAATGCAGATTGCTGAACTTCATTTAGCAAGTAATATTGTAGATATGGCTGTGACTGTGTAAATGAGTGAACTGTTTTATTTCTAGGTGGAATTGGTGGACCTAACCCAGGAATCGTACCATCAAATATGATATCTCAACAGGACTTTGCCAACCTAATCCATCAGTTTGTTGCCAGTGGACAAGCCCAAGCCCCTGGTGGTCCACCATCTGTCCCAGGGGGTCCACCACCAGCCCCAGTTGGGATAGGAGTGCCAGGAGCAAGACCACAGAACCCACCACAGCGACCCTTCTCACCCCTGCCACCACAGGCACGCCCTAGCAGTGCTCCCAGTATTGGGGTGATGCCAAAGGGTAAGCAGAGAGCTGATCAGGTGTCTCCTAATATCAAATAATTAGAACTGTTATCATAAACATCTTAGAGCTTTAGTTCCTGAATTTTCACAAATAGACTGTAAAATGGGATACTTTCGTCCAGTCAATTTTTCGCCCTATGCTGATTAAATCCATTTTCGCCCAATGTTAATTTGGCCCTTCACATTTGATTACTATATTTATCATAGTACTTACTACTGTTCGCTGTAATGATCAATTCGCCCTTATGGCGGATGGCAAAAAAGGCTAACATTAAACTGCAGCAAAAATGTCCCAGTCTACAGTATTATGTTTCAAATATTGACCAGATCTCAAAATTGTTATTACAGAAGGACCTTCCCCTGGACCCATAGGCCCTCCTCCCAGCGCCACATCACCCATGGCTGCCACACCACCTCTTCAGGAGCAGATGAAGGGTGACCAGGAAAGGAGACCTCCACGTCCCGTTGGTGCCATTGGGGGCGAGCGTGCCCAGAGAAGAGCACCAGGGGCAGGTGTGACAGGAGGAGGACCAGATTATGGGAAATTTTGGAACCTTGCATCAGGTAGGAGGGCTTGTTAAATTAACTCATTGGTGTTAAGAAAACTGTATTTTCCACTTCTTTGACATTGGTTGCACTTCAACTTGAGCTCCGTTAATACTACAAGTCCAACAGTCATCAATCTTTTATGAATACATTTTAAGGAGTACTACATCTTTGCAAGACCTTATTTAGCTCCATTTCTCAAGTTAGATTTTTGGTTGAGTGGGAAGTAGGGATTGGGGCTACTCCTTAAACATAAGAGGCTGCTGGTCGGCCTTTTTTCTATCAGATATGATTTTGCCGACTGTGCCCTCTTATTTCCGTAGCACTAATTCTTTGATGCAGATTCCGCCCAAAAGACGGGTGGATCGAAATTGGCTTGAAAAACTCACTTAGGTGGTTAACAGTTTTTAACAACAATGTCTACTCACAGTTCATATATAATATAGATATCATATGTATGCCACAGACACAAATATATAGTATGTTACGGAATATAACACTCAAAATACATGTCCATGTTGTTGTAGCACTTCTCTGACCTACTTTTAAAATATGGCTTCCTGGGTTAATACGAAATAGCAGGGGAGATTTAATACGGAACAAAATGATACAGAGTTTGTTTGTAACTGCTTGTAGAACAATCCATGTAATCCATTTTAGTATTAACCGGAAAATCATGGCAAATGTTGTCTGCTTCACTTCGAAACAGGAGTGTCTTTGACATGAAATTCTGCTCATTTAATCACGGATTTATGGAAAGGAATATTTATTGGACCCTGTTAAACATTTAAATGGATGTAAACACAATATACTTTTTCTAAATCCGAACTTTGAAAATTTGATCGTCAGCATTGGGAAAATCAGCTATGGGTAGTTAAGTCTGTGCTCAATGGACAATATGAATCAGAAAGAATTCTGAAGAGAAGGTTCAGCCAGCCTGATGGCAGTACCTATGTTCCCTGTCTCTGCAGGTCTTCAGGCTCTTGTAAGACAGGTATATCGTATCGTACCACAATACAGAGATGAAATATTGCTGTATCGCAATATTTTTCAAAGGCTTGTTTTTATGTACATGTATCTGCTTGGTGTTTTAACTTTGCAAATTACTTCAAATTCTAACAGATATGCCAATAAGCATAAAGCAGGCTTTTAATAGTTCAAATTTTGCAATCGATGGTTGGTTTGAAAAAAATCTTTGTAATCCATATTATATAAGATAACATTCTGACAACAACTTATTATACAATTGAGCACATCCTTCCTATGACAATATATCGGGATACGTGTCGCACTATATTCATTCTGTATTGCAATGTATCGTGATACACTCTTGGCATATTGTGACACCCCTAATTGTTAGCATGGTGACATGCCAAACTTCACAACATGTCTACCATAACCTTAAAAGTGTCAAATGAAGAGTCTTTACTGTTGTTGTATGAGATTTTCTGAGGATAAAATCCTTAAATTATATGTCATCACTTCATTCTTACAACAGTACCGATATTGTCTCTTGTTACAGAATTGAGTATGCAATGGAACCATGGGAGTACTAGTGGAATGACGCCAGTACAAGGTACACCCCCAACTTCCTCATCTGTGATGAACCGTAGCAATATGTCCTCCACGCAGGGACCTGCCCATGCCGAGGAGCGAGTAGGACCTAGTCCCATGCAGAATCACACAGACTACATGGAGTCTCGGGGTGACATGCCTGAGCAGCCTGGCATGGACAAGACACTACCGGTACAGCAACATTGTTCAGATACTTTATACTCAGAAACATTCACCTACTCAGATATTCGTCTCTTACTGGTTAAATCAATATTTGCACAATAAAACTTGCTCTTCAAATGCAATTGCTGTATAGGGTATGCTGTGTACTAATATTTGCTGTCATGATAAATTTGCCCTCATTGCAGGGGGCGAAAGTTAAACTGTGGGAGAAAATATCTGATACTGTATTATTTTTCAGGATTAGGAAAAAAATGCTTTCTTTTTGGTCAGACATACATGAACACTATTTTAATCTAGGGGATAATTTGCATTAGGGCTATTCAATAATTAGTTTGTTGGGGAGGTGGGAGCCTGAACTTAAAAAGGGCCTCCCACCCCTCCCTCCCATACAGTTATTTCTAGAACAGTCCTGTTTTTGTCCTTGCTATGTAAGAACAGTTTGAGGAGTATCTTGTTCGACAGTTTTTTTTTCGTGCTATGTAAGAACAGTTTGAGGAGTATCTGGGGGGACAGGTTATTGTCGTGTTATGTCAAACAGTCATACTGGAGCATTTGAACCAATAGGTGAGTATCTTGTTAGACAGGTTGTTGTGGTGCTATGTAAGAACAGTTGAGGAGGATCTTGTTAGACAGGTTGTTGTGGTGCTATGTAAGAACAGGTGAGGAGTATCTTGTTAGACAGGTTTTTGTCCTTTCTATGTAAGAACAGTTTGAGGAGTATCTTGTTAGTCAGGTTATTGTCGTGTTATGTCAAACAGTCATACTGGAGCATTTGAACCAATAGGTAAGAACAGTTTGAGGAGTATCTTGTTAGACAGGGTGTTGTCGTGCTATGTAAGAACAGTGTGAGGAGTATCTTGTTAGACAGGTTTTTGTCCTTGCTATGTAAGAACAGTTTGAGCAGTATCTTGTTAGACAGGTTGTTGTGGTGCTATGTAAGAACAGGTGAGGAGTATCTTGTTAGACAGGTTTTTGTCGTGCTATGTAACAACAGTTTGAGGAGTATCTTGTTAGACAGGTTATTGTCGTGTTATGTCAGACAGTCATACTGGAGCATTTGAACCAATAGGTGAGTATCTTGTTAGACAGGTTGTTGTGGTGCTATGTAAGAACAGTTGGGGAGTATCTTGTTAGACAGGTTGTTGTCGTGCTATGTAAGAACAGTGTGAGGAGTATCTTGTTAGACAGGTTTTTGTCGTGCTAGGTAACAACAGTTTGAGGAGTATCTTGTTAGACAGGTTATTGTCGTGTTATGTCAGACAGTCATACTGGAGCATTTGAACCAATAGGTAAGAACAGTTTGAGGAGTATCTTGTTAGATAGGTTATTGTCGTGTTATGTCAAACAGTCATACTGGAGCATTTGAACCAATAGGTAAGAACAGTTTGAGGAGTATCTTGTTAGACAGGCTATTGTCGTGTTATGTCAAACAGTCATACTGGAGCATTTGAACCAATAGGTGAGTATCTTGTTAGACAGGTTGTTGTGGTGCTATGTAAGAACAGGTGAGGAGTATCTTGTTAGACAGGTTTTTGTCGTGCTAGGTAACAACAGTTTGAGGAGTATCTTGTTAGACAGGTTTTTGTCCTTTCTATGTAAGAACAGTTTGAGGAGTATCTTGTTAGACAGGATATTGTCGTGTTATGTCAAACAGTCATACTGGAGCATTTGAACCAATAGGTGAGTATCTTGTTAGACAGGTTGTTGTGGTGCTATGTAAGAACAGTTTGAGGAGTATCTTGTTAGACAGGTTATTGTCGTGTTATGTCAAACAGTCATACTGGAGCATTTGAACCAATAGGTGAACAGTTGTCTCATGTTCATACAAGGTTCCCCTGTGATTGTGGTATTATGATAATCAGTCACACAGTGTTTCGTGGTAGTATTTTATAGGTAACATTAAAAAACTGAATTACTTAGGTAGTTCATAGCTTACTGATGATTCAGGTTGTGTTTAATTTAGCACTAGTGTTCTCACTGAATATCATCTTCAGACTACATCATATACTGATTAATACTCCTCTTATTCCTACAGAATAAAAACACTGGTTATATTCCCTGTCAATCTTATAATGATGAAAAAATACTGATTGGTAATTTTCTCTTGCCTTTTCAGAACCAGAACATGAGTAGTATGCCATTTTTTGGCAAGGTAATGGATGGGGGACATTTTCCCATACAGCAAACCTCCTTTAGCCCAGGCCCTGTAGGTGATGCTATGTGGAACCCACAAGTCAAAGGTCAGGTGCCTGACGCCTCGGACAAGGTAAAGTCTTCTGCAATAAAGTGATTCTTTTATGATTATTTAGTACTGTTTTTTCGTGTTGCTCCTGAAGTGGGATATACTGTTATTTACAGTTCAATTTTGGCTGAGAATTCAGACTGAAATAACATTTAATCATGTAACAAATAAGAATTGCAACTAGGTTTGTAACACGTATGTTAGGTGGGTGGCAGTATAAAGAGTACATATTCTGATGAAGACCTCATTGCAGTACACACATTTTGCTCCTGCTATACATACAACATACAAAGTAACATAACTATTTTTATTTCAGATGTGGAATTCATGGAGTTCACAGACGAGCATGTGATGTGTTTGGGCTCAGAATGTGACAAGCTACGAAGATTGAAATAAAATTAATGTATGATTAATCGTCCTGGAGTATATGGTGGTCTGTTCTTAGTAACATTGGACTGGCTTGATTCCCTTGTGATGTGTATTGGACTGCATCAAGTCATAAAACGATACCAATTTATGTTCATTTGAAATGAAAGAAGAATATTTGCTTATTTCTTTTTGTTTTGTTTAATTTTTTCCTTGTTACTTCTTGAGGCAAAGCTATTCCTTTCTTGGACACATAGATAAATGTAAACAAGGTATATAATAAATACAAAAACAAACCTTGATAAACTTGTTGTGTAATTGTTATTTTTAGGTCACCTTGGACAAAGTCTTGGTGACCTATTTAAATCACCTTTTGACCATCGTCCTCTGTAGGCCATCATGTGTCTGTTAACAATTTACATTTTGGACTTCAATATTCTCAATAATTTCAGGAAGTTTCCATGGCCAATGATAAGCAAGGACTATTATTTCTATGGATCTTAACTCCCAGGGGTCTGAGGGGTGGGGAAAATGGTCAAATTATCTAAAATTCCAGTAATTTTCTTGAAAGTTAAAATCCAGATATGCTTAAATCAAATACTCTCAATGGATTTAGATCTTAGGTGTGATTGATTGATTGGTTTTAAGTCTGCTTCACACCGAGTAGTTCGGTTACCCGGGAAGCAGACGGAACTTTTAGGTGCTATCTAAATTATGATTTCCCTAACCACTCCATTTCTCCCTTGAAGATGGGGGGCAAGTAAAGTATAGTTTATATAATGGAAATAATACCTTTTGGTATATTTTGTTTATTTTTAGCCTACCATCATCTGATGATGGGCTCTTCAAATCACCCTGCGTCCGTCCTTAAACAATGCTTGTTATCGCTATTTCTCGGGAAGTACCAAGAGATCTTTCTCAAATTTGATATGTAGGTTCCCCTTGGTCCTTAGCTGTGCAGGGCAACTTTTTGAGACTGATCGGATAAACAACATGGCCGATAGGCAGCCATCTTGGATTTTGATAGTGAAAGTTTGTTAGTACTATTTCTCAGGAATAACTGGAGGGATCTTTCTCAAATTTGATATGTAGGTTTCCCTTGATCCCTCGTTGTGCATGTTATATTATATTATTATTGAGACTGATCATAAAAACAAAATGGCTAAAGGAAGAACTAAACAGATCTTTCTCATATTGCAATGACCGATTCTATTTCTTTCACATTAAGTACTGTACTAGTAAATATGTGAAATGACAAACTCACTTTGAAAGTTGGCATTCATACACATCAGTAATAAGTGTAGATCAAAAGTTACCTCAAGGTGCATTTACTGTTATTATGACTCGATCAAACAGATTAGAGGAAAGAAGAGAAAAGATCGAACTGACAAAGAACTAATGAAGATGGTACAATGGTGGGCGCCAAGATCCCTCTGGGACCTCTTGTTAGGTTAGTGGTGTACAAAAACTAGGTCACTGTGACTTTGTCGCTGTTTTACCTTTGACCCCAAACTTTGAAAAGGTTTGTCTATGCCTTCTTTACTATTTCACCTGGAATTACCAGATTCGGTATGCAAGTAAATGTTAGGATGGCAGAGTGTCGATGTACACAAAAAAAAGTGTACAGCTCCATAAAAAAACCCATTACTGTTGGGGGGACTATGGATTGCTTTGCAATAATTTGCCATGTTAAATTGTGATTGCGCTTTGATGGTATACAAACTCATACAATTGAATCGCCCCTAGGGAGGAGGTAACTTTTCTTTATATGGAAATTACACATTTAGTCTAAATTTTCAGTAGGAAATTGACTTGTTTTGTATCATAATCATGTGATGGCAGTTCGATGGTAGGAAAATTAAGACCCAACACTAAGGGTTAACAATTAAAGGAAAGTACCTGGTAAAAGGTAGATTTGGAACAAAGGAAGAGACGGCAATTCGATGGCAATAATTAGATGTTCTTTTGTAACTCCCGTTATTTACATGAGTGTCGAAGACCAGGAATTAATTATGGGTGTTGCCCAAAACTTTAAACTCAGAAAAAGGCTAAAAAAAACTAATAAATTATAATTGTCATGTCGGTTGTACATGTATACTACTTTCTGGCAACAAACAATATATAGAACTTCATTATTTCTGAGGTTATGACAATTATAATTTCCCTGCCGAGCAGAGCGAGGCGAATTTTTCTTTTCTGGAGATGTAATACTAAACTTGTTCAAGCACTGTAAAGCGTAGAAAGCTAGAATTTATCGGACTTTTTTTCCATTGTCAAACAGATCGAATAAGGCATAGAATAGTTTTCTGAGTTAGCGGTATTATTCCAGTATTTATATTTCGTGTTGGCCGAGCGGAGCGAGTGTTAACAAATTCTCCGAAACAATAATAATAAGATACAACATTTGATATAGCGCTCTATCAAGCTAACATAAGCCACTCTAAAGCGCTTTACAGTACATAGATATACAATTAATACAATAAGGATATACAATTTTGAGGAATTCGCAGGGGCTGCCTTATTAAGCACTGACTACTAGTCCTATGCCACCTTCCTAATATCTCCCCATGTGTGTATACCTGCATGTGTGCTGGAGATGTATTGTGTTCTGTTTGTAGTGGGACCTTGCTTCCAACGGCATCTTTTTTATAGTGCCACCTCACTTGAATGCTATATCACAGATACCGCAACATCCACCCCAGACCATTTTATACTCCACCTGGGTTGTTGGAGTTGTGTGGGCAGGAGAAAAACACTT